ATATATTTTAATCTCGGCCACCTGATGTCACCACTTTCTTATAAGCGGCATTCTGTTTTTCTCATAAGGAATTAAGAAGCTCTTTCAAGTGAACACGAAGCTCTAATAAGCGACCGACGAATAAAACCGTTGTCGAAAATAGGCCATTTTTATTCGGGGAATTTCTTCAGATATTCGGTAATTATACATAGATGTTTTGGGAGTTTTAACGTTTTTAACGCGGACTTTTCATGTCGTGCAGTACTAGACAAAATTTTACCATTTAAACATGAAGAAATGCACCGGCGGCAAGCTCTCTAAAGAAATTTTGATTTGCTCAACAATGCCTGATGAAAAGGGGGATTTATTAGTCATACGAATATCAGCTCGCCATTGTGTTTTAAAAAATATTGCCATCCGGGATTTGCGAGCAATTTGGAAATCAAACAAGAAAGCGTGACTCAAGAAATGGAAAAAAGAATGGGAATGAACAGTGCTCTAATTTCTTGATAACGCAGGAAGCCATCTTCGTGAGCTAAAAGTGCAAGATGTGAAATTTATATTTTGCCCCCAAACACCACTTCTATATGTTATTTCTTAAACTTATTTTTGTTAGAGATCTTATTTCTAAAACATGTTGTAACAACAAATCTGTGTCTGAGCTGTCGAAGTCAATTAATGTATTAGAGGTTTTATATTCCCTAAAGACGGTATGGAATAAAGTAAATTCTGCAACAGTCAAGAATTGCTTTATAAAAGCTGGATTCAAAAAAACTGCAGGAAAAATTCCACTAGATTACAACTATTAGCTGGACTAATGAGTCATGCAAAAGCCTAAGATGCAAGTAATCCAGAAGTAGAAGGATTTAAAAACATGGACCAAATGGTGCAGACTGAAGAGGAAATATTTCATCCTGATACTACGGTCCTTCCCATGACTATTGATGACGAATCAAAAGAAACGTTGTCAATTGTACCAAATGCTTCACGATAAAATCGTATGATGAAGCCTTAATTAAATGCAATTTCCCTTTTGAAAACATTTTCAAACGATGATTTTATTGCGAAAATGTCATTCTTCATTATTTCATGAAAGTGCAGAAATTTTGTTTTTCTCGATAAAATACCAATTCACTTTTTACAAGTCGACAAGATGAGATTGAAATTATGTTGAGTTGCAAAAGAGAGGTTCAATTTGCTGAATGTAAACAATAAATAACTTTCTTCCGTTTTTTTTCGTTATTAATTTGAGCATTATTTTCTTGGTGGTAAACCTGCAGTCACATAAGAGATGGTATAGTGGTCGAAAATATGAGCGAAATGAACCGTTGTTTGCTCTCAGTATATTGCTATGGCATTTTCGGTACCCAAAAATAGCAAATAACACAGAAATAGAAAATTTCTGAATACATTGAATTTGCACAAAAACAATTTACAGAAACTGTTAACCGCCAATAAATCAAATCAAGACGTTTAATATAGCAACTAAAAAGGCGATTCGGACCGTGTTAACGCCTTCTGTGCGTTTTCTTGAAACTTGAAAGAAAATTTCCGTTCTGCTCGGCGAACAAGTAACATAAAAAATACAATTATTGCGTCATTGCCAAAAAGCTTGGGACAGATTATAATTTAGTACTTACCGTATCAGGTATCATCAGCGCGCCCATTAGACTTTCCCTATCTTCAAATTCAACGTAGCCAAAACCTCTCAGTTTGCCTCCTTCACCAGACCGGTCCTCTTTTGGAATTCGCATATTGGCGATCTACAACAATAATTAGATAAATATTACCTAATATTTATCGACCTTTTCTAGTCGCGTCTTTACCTTTAAATGCTTAAAAAATTCAGCTATCTCAAACTCTTCTACATCGTAAGGTAAATTTGTGAGATACGCCATATACGGCCCATCCATTGGAACTTTGCTAGTGATGTCATCAAAATCTCTTGACGCTTTTGGTGCGGTCGGTAGCACCACATTGATGATTTTTGAGTCCAAAGCGTCTTAAAAATAAAACCATCATAAAATACCAAAACGGGTAAAGTAATGTATTTATTTAGGACAATTTTATAATATCAGACGGCCGGAAGTGTTCACAATTTAGTAGAAAAGGCCCGCGACAGATTAGTCTGAATTGAGTTTTAACGAATAAATCGTCAACTCGCAGATTGAACTAAAATTGCTGGCTGCGAGAGTTTCCAACCCATCTAAATGCGACACCTATGCCATTGAAACATTGACAATCCCAGGCTTACGCATCCAGACTGGCATATTTCTGGTTCCCTCGCCTTGCGATTATGCAAGTCCCCGGCTAGAGGATAATTGCCTGTCTCAGACCTTCCCGTTGCGTAAGATGTAACAAGTACATTGTATGTGAGCCCCAGGTGCGAGATTGTCGCGGGCCCAAATTCCGCTAATGTGAACAACATCCAACCAAAATTCATCATATTGAGGCTATATTTTTAAGTACGAATCAATCTAATAACCAGAAATACAATTACGAATTACAACTTTACGTTCGTAAGCAAATAATGAATTTAGGTACTACATCAACGACAAAATGCGTCATTACTTCCTCACTAATTCATAATGGAGGAATAACAAGTGAGCTAGACAATGAAAATAATGCAGATCAGACGCTTTAAATAATAAATATTATAATTATACATGCATCTAAAATGTTATGGAATATGTTTCAAATGCCTAGAGAGAATATCAATATCTCTCACAATATTCACAATAATTTGTATCTTGCTTTTATGAATAAGAAATATAAAAATAACGGTGAACTAATATTAATTCTCCCACGCCACTAGCAAATCATTTAACTGCACTGCGCTGTACATAAATGTAGTATTTAAAAAAACCGTTCTTTAAAAATTCAAAAAAATATTAAAAAATTTAATGTTAAGTCCGACATCAGAGTGCCATGCTGAAACAACATAATCCAGTCAGATTAGACTTTAAAAGGCCTGTTTCGGGAACTAAATTGATGAAGGTAAAAATTATTCATGTGTTTCAGTCAAGTGTCAAAAACCAAGTCAAAAAATTTTAGCTGCAAATAATTAACCCTTTAGCTTTTAACATAAAAAATCCGAATTTTTATAAATACATTATTTTTACTTTACAGTAATCAACTTTTCTTTTATTGTACGATGTAGTATAACTCTTTACAAGTAAAATAGACCGTTGGAGAAGTCGCTCCGTCGTCTCAAAAAAACTTATTTAGAATCTGGCAAGAGCTTTTTTTACATAATAAATAGGAATGAACAAAAAGTTATGAATATTTTCTCATATTGCAGGTATTTCTAATACTTGAAAAAAACTATGTGTAAAAAATGGTTTTTGGCAGTTTTTTGATTATGCAAGCAATGTTCTACATGTTCTGACATTCTTACGAATAACTTCCAATAATTTTTCACCTTCATCCATTTAGTGCCTGAAAAAATTTAATCTGACTGGACTAACATTAGTTTTTGCCTGTCTTGACTTCAGACCAATACAACTTTTTGTAACTATCCAAAAAGAAAATCATAGTCCAAAAAAATTCAAATTGAAAAATAATGTTTCCAGCCAGCGAAATTTCGAAGACCTTTAAAGTTTGAATTTTGGCTGGTCTTTGTATTAACTTAATAAAAAAGTGAAGTCTACAGTTTGCCTAGAAGAAATGCACAAGATTCACGCGAATATGTATATTAAAGCAATGAAATCATATCCAGCATAAGTCAATGTCATTATTAATAAAAACAAACTGCAAAGGTAATTTTAGGGTGTCTGAAAACAAAACCTTCAGAGACAATAAAATTTGATACAGTTCTGTACAATTTATTGGGAAAAACTAATCTAATCGACTTGTTCAGAAACACTCACCACATAGAAATCATAGATCATAGAAATATAACGGGTTTTTGCCAAGATAATCGATATACAAAGTATATGAATTATTTGACTAATTTTATGCAAAAGTCACTTGATGTGAATTCCCAACGGTTCATAAGTGCTCAGTTGGATACAGCACGTTTTTCAATTATCAAAACAATGTTTTTGACTTTCTAAAAATGCTTGAAGATTCTATGTGTTTAAAACAAATTCCTTTTACCTTGCTGCATTTTCGAACATCAATAAAGTTTTCCAATGGTGTATTTATAAAAACTTTTTTACTTTTTAAATTTCCTTTCCTACTAAATTGTAATTTATTTGCCCTGATGCATTTCTGAACATAAAAAAAATAGATGTGGATATTTGTTTTTTGCACATTAGAAGATTTTCTTCTTTTTAAATAAACAGTAATTTTTAAACCCTTATGCATTTTCTGCTGTAGTCAAATCATTAAAAGAAAATTATTTACAATGAGTATGAGATACGAATGAGAAAAGTGTACAACTTTGTACACTTTTCTACCTCACCCCTGAGCATCTGTTCGTACGAACAAACATGTGAAAAAGAAATGGGAACATATGAAAATTCTAAGTGGTAGATCATAACAGCTGCTCTTTTAAACAGCTGAGTGTGGTTGTTGGGATGATGGTGAAAAGCGACATTTTAATAATTGCGTATAATCTACATGTATACAGTGTGTCCAGTATAAAATGATGTACATCGGGATATTGGAAACCGTTAAAGATACAGAGTGGACCAAATGGGGAAAAAGTTGCGCAATCAAGTGCTTATAAATAATATGTCATCAACTTCTTTGAGCTCGGAATAGCAACGGATATACAGGGAAGAAAAGAAAAAAGTGCGCCCTGAAAATTTCGTTATTGTATCTTGTATAATAAACACGATATAAAGGATTTTATAAAACGCACTTTTTTCGTTTTTTCCCTGTGTATCCGTTGCTATTCCGAGTTCAAATAAGTTGATGACAGATCATTTATAGGCACTTGATTGCGCAACTTTTTCCCCATTTGGTCCACCCTGTAACTCACGGTTTCCACTATCCCCATGTCCATCATTTTATACTAGACACACTGTATATATACAGCATGTTAAACACGTATAAAAAAGACTATCATTCAAACAGTGATTTTTCTTCAGGAAAACTTTTACAAAATACACGAATAATGTTACAATTTGAAGCTTTATTTCCCAATAAAAGATCTATTGTTATTTGAAACGGAGCCTTAAACAAACTGAAAAGATCACACGCAAAATATAACCCATGGAAAATATGAAAACAGTTACCAGCTGCCTTTTCCACCACCTGAATATGGTTGTTGGCATGATAAAGATGGTCAGAAACATGCTAATTGCAATGCATTTCATTCACTACTTTACACATTTGTTAAGTTGAATCATTTTAACAGTGTAGGGCGAAACGTGGATAACTTATGAAAGGACATTCATTAAATTGTATGCGTTTTTCTAAGCTCGATAAATATGATTTGATGAATAGACGTAAAATTTAAAGTTTCTAATGATCAATAAGCAAGAGTGTTCTAAAGATGGAACTGTGGAACAAAGGTGAAATGTTAACGGCTGCCCTTTTGACCACGAATGTGGACGATGGCAAGATTAGATTGATAATGCTTGATCATTTAAACAGTGCAGTTTATCGATTAGTTTCTCACAAAACAAAGCAAACACGAAACGTAACTAAGTGCTCGAATTGTCGTTTAGACAAATGAAATTGATAAATGTTCAAAATTGAAAACTGGACGCACAATTGAAAGTTTATATTAACAAATAAGTAGAAGCTTGTTTGACATTTTAAACTGTTGGTACATTTAACTAGATTAAAAAGGTTGAGTAATGTCATTTGCATGTTAGTGTATTAATGAACCTGAGTTAATCTTTTCCATTAAAGTCAAGAAGTTTATAGTAAATGATTGGATTTGATTGGTCGTTAAGAAATCATTACGTTCCTGATTGATAAGTCTTGTGCATGCTTGCAATTCATCATGGAATAGACCGGCAAATATCAGCCATTGAAAGCGCATATCGTAGAATGAATTGCATAAAAATGGTTGATAAAAACGAAAATTCACGGTATTGCCCTGTTTTTTTAGGCGTCCGATTTTATGGCATCAAAACGAGACATAAAATTATTGGTGAACAAACCGTAAATCCTATCTAAATGACAAAATAGTAAATTTAGATAGCGATTTAGTAATATCGCAATTGTATTTTTAATCGAATTTTAATTTCAAACAATGGACACTCCAGCATAAAAAAATCTTACCATATTCCTCAACTTCATCGGCCCAATTTGTAGATTTTCTAATAGGTTGGCTGGGGACACTTCCAGGAGTCTCTTGCAGAAACTGGTTCAGTGCAAAAGTCTTCCCTTTCGTCTTTTTTCCTTTTTTTCCTGGAAATTACAGGAAAATATTGGTTAATTTTAGAACACGAGGAAAGCATGTTCAAACCCTGGTAGTATAGGTTAAATGTGCACATACGAAATCAAATCCTAGCAAACAAACAAAAGAGCGGTTAATGTTAATGTTTTTACGTGTTAAAACAACATTAAATCTGATATCATATCGGAAATTATAAAGATTCCTACTAACCTGAAGCCATATTCACAGAAAAGCAACTGACATAGAACAAAACTTATGGCAACTGATCAAATTTTGACTTCCGAAGAATCCGAGGTCGAAATCGTCAATCGTCGTCAACCAAGCGTCGTTTCTTCCGGTAGTGCAGCCAACCTAATTCAAGGCGCCTAATTCAAAACAGTTTACGAATTTCTAGTCTCACAGTTCAGAGCACTACTACTGGTCTTCATTTATGGTTCAGAGGTGTTCTGTGCTAGTCACATGTTCTAAACTACTAAAAAATGCTTCTCTTAATTATGCGAAATTAATTCAAACGTATGCTCATTTCATTTCTATATTGGTTAAGTTGAGGTAGAAAAGCTCCACACTGCAGTGCGAAACTTTCCTGTAAAAATGTCTCTTTTATCATGATACAATGAATACACTGTGCTCTATTATGTTGTATGTAAGACAAAGAGGCAATCACTATTTCCGTCTTTCTGTAAGCCCTGTTTGTTTGTATATATTATAGGTAGTTTTTCTTTTATCTGTCTCGCTTCTTATGCTTTTGATTACTTCTGAAGATTTAAAAATTAGTTTTTCTTTTTTTGCATTTTTAAATCGATAAGGAAATTTTAGGTTTCCTAGTTTTGAGCACGTACTATTAGGTCATACGCAAGCGCGGTACTAAGAATTCGAGGTTCGCACAGGACAAATTACGAGTTGGAACTTTTCTTTTTTCATTACACAAATTATAATTAAATAAGAATATATGTATATACAATATTAACAATTAAAATAAAACACTGCAATGCAATATTCACTTTGCTAAGCATTTATTTAGAATAGAATAACAAACAGCAGTAAAGAACGTGACTTTAATTAACAATATATGTATATGTAATTGATACGTAAGATTAACAGTAAAAGTAATAATAAAAATAATATCTTTACGTATAAAATGTTTCTGTACGAAAATAACGGGTGCTAAAATTGTTCACCAATGGTTATTAACACGACTTTATATACAGGGTGTCCCGTAAGCTCATGATCAAAAGGGTACTGCGATATTCTTCGGACCAAAAGAAGACGATCTGACCTAACTTTTATTAACAAAAAATGTCTGGCTCCTCTGCTATTGATGGTCAAAGTTCTTCAAAAAATGTATCTTTTTTTAAATATCGGGAGAATGGTACGATGCATTTTAGTGAAACTGGCTGTGAGTTTGTTCTTATGTAAGTCTCATATTTTGATAAAACAATCGAGTTCAGCCGTTTTGGACAAGTGCTGAATTCTTGAGTATCGTGGTACAAAAACTACCAGAACTTTTTAGTTGGAGGAGGAAATCAACTCATTTTTTTTAGGTTGATGCACTAATCATTTGTTCACAATTTTGTCCTCTCTGTAAAATCTTGTAGGATTCAGTTTTTGCGTAAAAAAAAATTGTCTGTTTTCTAGTTACTTGCTAGACAATTTCTTATTCCATAACTTCCATAACTATCCATAACACTTTCTTATGCATTCTTTTTGAACCTTAAGGTAATTTGGAGAAAAGAAAAAAAAGTTTATTTGCAGCTATATTTTAATTTGCGTTGCGTATGAAAGTTCCGGAAAAATCACCAAAATTGCTAGAGGATGACTATATGGTTGGCGATAATGCGGGATGATGTCAGCACTTGGGCACAGTTGGTTGGTTCGTTATCGAAAGGAGTGGCGGGCATTATTTATTGATCCTTATAAGCGCCAAAGGATGGATGAAAAACGGGGATAAACCGGGAGAAAAAACGGGACTGACTCTGTCCTGACTCAATCTGTGCAGGCTTTTTGATACCAACAAAATGGGGGTTCTCAGTAATATGGGGTTCCTATGCCCGATACGCGCGTTTCCGCTGTGAGCGCAATATTACTTCAAAAGGCTAATTTGGTCTATCTTAGGTTAGTACTCGATAGTACTGATCGAAACAACACAAACACAACACCATTAGCAGAAATAGCAGAAAGATTCATCTTATTTTAACAAAAATAAAAGTGTTTTAATAAGTAGTAACGTTATAATCCACTGTATTGAAATGAGAAATGGCAAACATGTGACGTCACATCTTCCGCTCGCGTCTCTCCCCGCTCGGGATTACCAGGCAACCTGTGTACTTTAAGAACCTTGGAACAAACCTATTTAATATTTTTATATAATTGGCTGTGCTGTTTTTTGATAATGTCAATTTTGACATCTTGTCACTAATCACAAAAGTCAATTTATTAAAAATATATTCATTATTCTCCTTGCTGAACTATTGAGGAACAACCTATTCTCAAAGTTCTTTATGAAAGTAATGGACTTCTAAGAGTTCAATCGCTACTATACAACGTACAACCTCGCACTTTATAACCTTTAAAGTAAGTGTTCTATTATATTAATCTTTTCCGTAAAACTGCCCGTAAGTGTAGTGCATGTCAGTTATGTACTAATACGAAATTTCTTTCATACATATTATCGGTGCATGTCATCATCTACCAAGTTCTAACTTGCAGATAAAGTATAAAATCTGCATATTTGTATACAACATATGCCAGCTACATGTACCTACTATATAATATATTTTTGTCCCGACCATACTCCAATTGTGCATATACTAGTCACTTTTCAGTGTATTATCTAAATATAGACTTGTTGCTATTACTTATAGAACTCTATTATTCCGCATAATAGACTGCTATTAATATAAACATTTAAAGATTTACTGTCTCTTAGAAGGTATATAAACTTGCCCTATATGTTCTGGACGGTTGTAATCTGGTTGAATGTCTGATACTGAAAAACCTATGAAACTACACTTTCTTAAAGTATTTCAAGTTTAGATTGGAAGTCCCATAATTCAAGGAGAAAGCCATGTGGTGATACAATGGACTTGAGCCATGTGGTGATAAAGTATGTTTATCTTTTTGGTCATTTTTTAGATTTTCAGATCCTTGCGTTTGATGTTAACAATATAAACCTTATATAGATAATCTCTTTACTAAACACTTTTTTATTAGTGTTTTTTTGAAAATCTCTGAACACTTATTGATATTAGTAGTTTTTCCATTCGAAAATAAACCAAGTATCTTAATTTACGCTGCAAAAACCTCTCACTCAATCAATATTTTATAACATTTTGCAACAGGTTGTTGTTCATCTCTAAAATAAAACAGTTTTCTTGGGAAAATGTGATTTTGGACTTTCGCTCATTGAGGTATTCAATTTTTCCATCAGAAAATAGGATACTACTTTACTATACTGGTAGTATTTTTACTTATTTGTAAGACTATTTGTAAGACTCTAAAATCTAAAACTAAGTTGCGTTTTATGAAAAAATCAGCGATTTGTCTATTTTTTCTGAGTTTTTGTATTGATGTACGAAACCCACTGACGGAATACTTTGAGCTGCAAAACATGCTCAACTGCTGGCAGTAATTAAATCACACTTTTTACTGAATGTCACGACCCTGTATTTTATTATCAAGGCATTTTCCGAATATAACTTATAAAGCAAACTCATACCTATTATTTCAATTGGTCGCATAAGTCGAAACTGGATCACATTGTACATTGGATTATAAACATGTAGATGACATTGTTTTGTGGGAATAATAAAAACTGGTTTTAATTAGGTGGATAAAAGGTGCAATTGATAAACGGCTTACATACGAACGAAATTCTGCGTAGATTCAGAAAACGTTTATATTTGTTCTCGAAGTCACTAGGTTTTTGCAATACAACGATAAGTTAACATGTAATTATTACTTTTAGATGTCAGGCAACCATAAGCACCGTTACAAGAACAGTGCGCTCGACAGTGTCGAGTTGAGGCGGCGAAGAGAGGAAGAAGGAATCCAACTCAGAAAACAGAAACGAGATCAACAATTGAGCAAACGGCGTAATGTAAATGTTAACCAAGTGTTACCTGATGACGATCCTCTACAAGTAATACTTTATTTACTTTTTTAATCCGACGATACCAATGAGACTAGTTTTAATCCTATTGCGGTTTTTAGTTTGAAAGTGCCATGTCGTCCACGCCACCGGTTATTGGCATTTCTCAAGAAATGATCCAAGACGTATGTAGCGCTGATCGCCTACGTCAATTAGCTGCAACTCAGAAATTCAGGAAATTGCTCAGTCTTGAGCCCAATCCGCCGATTGATGAAGTGGTCGCCACAGGGATTGTGCCCAGATTTGTTGAATTGCTGAAAGATTCTTCCAATTGTACTCTACAGGTGAGGGAATTTGCCAAACGATTTAAATTTTATAAGATTGAAAGTTGTTTGATTTTAGTTTGAAGCAGCATGGACTCTTACAAACATTGCATCAGGAACCTCACAGCAAACACGTGTGGTTATTGATGCCGGAGCTGTTCCCATATTCATTGCTCTTCTCGAAAGCAACTATCAAGACGTAAAAGTAAAAGTATTTTATAGTGAAGCTCTCTACAACATCATCTAACCATTTTCATATTTTCCAGGAACAAGCCGTATGGGCCCTTGGCAATATAGCGGGAGATTCCCCAGAATGCAGGGATAATGTCTTAGATGCACACATTTTACCTCCTTTATTGCAGTGAGTTTATTTTCAAACTTCTTTGCCTACCAGAAAACTCGTGTGTGACCCACCCATGTTGCTTCAGGTTGCTGACAACAGCCAATAAATTGAGTATGATCCGAAATGCTGTATGGGCCTTATCAAACCTGTGTAGGGGAAAAAATCCTCCAGTCGATTTTTCAAAAATTAGCCCATGCCTTCCAATTTTGTCTCGGCTTTTATTTCACACAGATGCGGACGTGCTTGCCGATTCGTGCTGGGCTTTGAGCTACCTATCTGATGGTCCAAATGAAAAAATTCAGGTAAGTGATATTTAACTTGGTCAAATTGAGTATCGATTTTATTTATCTAAGCGTCGTTATACAATTGACAAAAATCGACATCTAATGGATGCATTTTGCAGTCTGTAATAGACGCCGGAGTGTGTAGAAGACTTGTGGAACACTTAATGGCACCGCAACCAAATGTAGTATCCGCCGCACTTAGAGCGGTTGGAAATATTGTTACGGGTGATGATGTGCAAACGCAGATTGTGCTTAATTGTCAAGCACTGCCTTGTTTGTTACATTTGCTTTCATCTTCGAAGGAAAGTGTGAGAAAGGAAGCTTGTTGGACAATCAGCAATATTACGGCAGGAAATCGGTCTCAAATACAGGTAGAATTGTTTTCAATCAGTGTCTGAGCTAATCTAATATTAGTTTGATTTCTTTCAGGCTGTTATAGACGCGAACATCTTTCCAGTGTTAATAGATGTGCTATGTAAAGGAGACTTTAAAACGAGGAAAGAAGCTGCTTGGGCTATAACCAATGCGACTAGCGGTGGCACACCAGAGCAAATCAGGTATGATGTGTGTTCAAAAGTGTTCATTTTGTGTGCTGATAATGTTCGAAATGTCTTGCAGGTATTTAGTTAGTCAGGGATGTATCGGGCCACTTTGTGACCTCTTAACTGTGATGGATACTAAACTGATCCAAGTAGCACTAAACGGATTAGAGAATATACTTAGACTGGGCAAACAAGATGCTAAAGCACACTCTGGTGTCAATCCATATGCCGTTCTGATTGAAGAATGCTATGGTACGTATTGTCACAACTTTTTCCGGAACCTGTCGGCGAATTTTTGATCACATTGTCAGAAAAATTAAGAAAGCTTATGGGCATTTACCATTAATTTTCTGGAAATCGTTGTAAAAACTCATCTCGGGAGTCCGATTAATGGATTTATAAGTATGTCTTGTTATTGTCGAAAATAGCTATAATCTGTCCGACGCTTTTTGGCAGTAACGCAATAATTGTCGGTTTTTTATGTTACCTACTTGTCCACCGAGCGAGGCGGAAATTTAGTAAGAAAATAAGGAAAATATTAAAATTATTGATTTCATTTCTTGGCGAGTGTCAGCACTTTCTGTGAATTATTCCAAGTTTTCATTGAGGATTGGAATTTCATCACCTTCAGTCAAAATATAATTTGGCTACAGGTTTACCACCACGAAATTAACACAGTTTAACGCTCACAGTTAAAACGACAAGCGAAAAAGTCCACAACAGGCAAATTAATAACGAAACTAAAATAAGTGATTTATTTTCGCAATTAATTGTTTTCTTCCGCAAATTTAGTCTCGCTTTTGCAACTATAGAGAAAAATAAAATTTCTCCACCAACATCAAGCAATACTGATGACAAATGTTTAATTTGTCGACAATAAAAAATAATGAAATATTTGAAACTTCTTTAAAACTGTGTTCTGACAATAATATCTACTTCAACAAAAAATAATTTTCAAATCACCGGGAACAAACAATTCACTGCCAAAAACTTTGGGACAGGCTTTATGTATAAAGACTTAAGTATAGAATAAAGTATAAGTACTTATCACAAATCGATTTAGGATATTGCATTTTAAATTTTTGTAAATGTAATCGGTATTATTAAAACTTGTCTATATTTTCTAGGATTGGATAAAATAGAATTTCTACAATCACATGAACACATTGAGATTTATCAAAAGGCATTTGATATAATTGAGCTGTTTTTTGGTGCGGAAGAAGAAGATTCCCGTGTTGCACCGTCCATAGATGCAAACCAAGGCCAGTACCAGTTCAGTGCTGACCAATCAGTACCAATGGGCGGATTTGACTTTTAAAAATTTGCAATTTTAATAGAGATTATCAATTTGCAACCAGTTGAACCAATAACTGCGTTGCTCTCCTGTATCATTACTTGTCCCTACTTTCTTTATTATGCGGTTCTAAATCAGTGTTAGAATCGAACTGTCTCAAACCACGTGATGAATCATTAAGTTCATATGAAAATACTTCAAAGTAGTATTGTATAGCATTTCTAGCAAAAGTTAATTGCGTCCACCATTTCACCATTAATAACCAATCAAATAAATGGGTAAAAATTGCATGTAAAATATGATTGTGTTTCGTAATTGCTTGTAACGAATTAATGTAAATAGGTTACAGTTTTTAAAGTATTGGTAACATTAAACAATGCTACTCGTTACTGGTTTCCTCACTTTCCTTAAGTATATTGCGAAATCTCAGTCGGCTAGTTTATAATATGCGGATAATAATGGTAATAACTAGAGGGCGGAAAATATGCAAAGTGCATATCTATGCATTTTTTGCATATTTTATCCAATTTCATGAAAAATTGCATATATCTAAAAAA